AGTCAGGCACAGAAAGAGAAATATCACATGTTCTCACTTACTGGTGGGAGCTAAAAATAAATAAATAAACACACACACACACACACGCACACACGCCAGGGGTAGGGGGAAAGAAGACATAACAATTGCAATTCCTTGAAGTTAATACGACAAGTGAACAGAAAGGACATTGTTGGTGGGGGCAGGGGGGAGGTCTAGGTAATTGGCCACAATAATCAACCACATTGTATATTGACAAAATAAAATTTGGAAGAAAAATAAAATAAAAAATAAAAAAGCTGGCCTTGGAGAAAAACCACTTAATATTTTAAAAATTTACCTATTTTCCCTATGAATACCTACTAAAAGAAAGGTATCAACTCTTGAAAAACAGCACATTTCTTAGAAAAAATTCACTAGGCCTACTTAGTGCTACAGAAACATTTATATCTAACCACCTATCTCACATAACATCACCATATTTCAGGCTTGCATAACAATCACTGAAAACACTGCTTTCTAAGAAAAGTAAATAAACATTTTTAAAAGGGATTTTGATCTGCCTTTAAGATCAGTGAAGTATGTTTACCAATTTAGGGCATTTTTTTTAAATTCAATGTAATTTTTGAGTATTATATGTCCAACCCTGTACAAGGCACTACAGATAGAATGATGATGACCCTTTGCAGCTAATAGTTTATGGGACATATTAATACCACTCACAGTGATATTACATACATAAGAAGAAAGAGGGGTTGAGACACCACCAAGGAGTATACTGAATAAGAGAAGGCTTCTAGGAGGAAAGCTATTTGAGTTAGGTATTGAAATATGAGCAGGAATTTGCCAGATTTGTGGGGGTAAGAGAGAGGGGGAAGGAGGAATGGTAGGTCAACATCATCCTAGGTTGAATGTAGAATAAAGAAAATGAAACATGAAAGGACTTGGTAAGTCCTAGAAAATATGAGCAGCTCAATGCTCCAGAAGTATATGGCTTGAATGAATTGTAAAAGAGGAAATTGGTGACAGGTGTGAAGACTGTAGACCTCAGGATCTGAATGCAAATGACATGACATGCCAAACTAAAGAATTAAGATTGGATCTGATCTTACAAGCCAGACAATGTAGTTTTCCAAAAGAGATATGACATAATTGTTTTTATTTTGTAAGAAAATGACACTGGCAGCGACTTGGATTTTAGACTATAGTGAGGAAAGACTAATGGTAGACCAATTTGGCTACTGTACAAATCAGAGATAATAACCAAAAGTAGTGAGAGAGAGGATGAAGAGAAACCAGATGAAGAGAAGCAGCTAGATGTGGTAGAATCTGCAGACCTGCACTCCTTTTTTAAAATGTCTCTTATATGTGATATTTTCCCTCCTCTATATTTCTTGGTATAGATCTATATCTTGCATGGAAAAAGCTTATACAGTAAGATTATCAAGATTGGAGGCAACATGGCCTTTTTTGTTTTTCCTCCCATGATATTAGGAATCAAAAGATCTGGATTACAGGCTTTATCTTTGCTGTGAGACTATGCGCATGACAATTAACGTCTCAAAGCTCTGGGTTTCTCACTGGGTAAAAAAAAGGAAGTAAAACTAGATGATATAAAACTCTTGAAAGTTCTAACATGCATCTTTAATCTTCTGGAGGTCTCCAATAAAAACATAAATACAACTTCTATTAAACGACACCAGTTGTGAAAACCTATTAGAAACAGGCAGATACTACTGTACCTGTAACTATCATTTACATACATGTATCTACATGTACTTACTACATTTGTGAAGGATTTCATGATATACATTAAGATATGTCACCAACTACTCATCTGAAACCCTAAGACAAAACTGAAACTCTGTAAGATGTCTGTCAGCCATTTCACTTTCAATTACTAGGTATCTTTCAAAAACACATACCCAAGAAGGAGCATTCTATTATTCAAGTGATTCAAGAGATTAAATAAATGTCTGCAAAGTTAAATGGTAGTACTGCTGGATACAAGTTTTCAGACATAATATTATGCTATGAAATCATGTTTGTCTGAACCTCTTATTTACAGAACTTTTTAACAATATTCCTTCATCAGTCAAAATAAAAAGTTCCCAAATGGAGAGAGATGGTCCTGAGATTTGTAACCATAAATTGTGTGAGACTTACTAAGAAGAAAAACTATTTTACAAATTTTTCTTCAGACTAAAAAGTTGAGATAATCTGAACTTGTTTCTCCTCAGAAATAACTTTTTAAAGCCTGATTTAAAGAAAAAAAAAAAAGATAGGCGAATCAAAAGACTTCCTTCAAAACAAAAAGGTGAACAAATATCTTTATTAACGATGAAACACTCAGATGTAAATCTTATATTTCCAGCCTGTTATAAATTTATGTAGCATAATGAACATAAATTAAAGTCATATTTCAAAGGAAATAACATTCTAAGGTTTTGTAAATTGTAGTATTAAACCATAAGCAGAGGCTTTTCTAATGATATTCTATGTTGTTACTTCTTCCAATGTTTCTTCTAAAGACCTGAAAAAAATTTTGGTTATATACTATATTTATATACACCAGAATAATTTCTCTTTAATGTACCCATGTGATTTCTCTCTTGCTCCCTAAAATAGCATTATACATTTTTCCGAGTGAACCAAAATAAAATCTGTAAAGACCTAAACTGTGATTTACCATGATCAGTGTAAAATCCTTTACCATGCAAATCTGCATCAGTTTACAACCGTCACCAAAAACTTTTTGTTCTTTCAAATCGCAGGCATCAATGAATATAGAACTAATCCCACTACCAACCCACAAGAGATGTAAGCCACAAATCTCAACCAGACCATTGGTCCAAAAAAAAAAAAAACAAAACCCTTATTATGGTTTTTCTTATACGTAATATAGTAATCTAAACTAATACTTTCAGATCCTAAAAGTTCAAAGAGTATTATATTTTGAAGACAGAAAAGCTGATCTTATTCTACTTAAAGAAGCTTTATTAATTCTAATTAACAAATTTCACTCAGGAAGAAAGTGTATTCGAATGAAGAACTTTATTAGAGGGGAAACTATTTAAAGAGAACAAATAGAAGCAGGAATTATCTGTTTTTTGTTGTAAGCTCATACTATTCAGACACAATTCAGAAGCAGAATTTTTAGCTTTTCTCAAAAGTTGCCTGCTAAAGCAAAGCTTTTTTTTAAACAACAAAAAATTTAAATACACTTTAAAATTCTAGATAAAGTATATTACAAAGTTAGCATGAGAAGTATGGGGGGGGGAGGACACCTCAGATTCATTGTGTAAGGACAAGGTCCAAATAGGAAAACTCGTTGTGCTTTCCTCAAATATATCTGATAAGATTCCCACAGGAACACCAGCATAACAGAAAGAGTGGATATTCCAAAAACAAAATACAATTATAGTACCTCACATTCCATGATATGCATTCAAGGATACCTGGTAATTAACTAAAAGGATTATGAGAAACAACTGAATACCATGGGGCCTGTTCAGTTATTACAAAAGAAAAAAATTACCTGCAATAATCCTTTACACTTGGCTAGTACTTTGTAATTTTCATGGTACTTTGTGATAAAACACTTTATAAAGTTGTGTTTTGTTGTTCCTTTTATGCAATTAGCACGCGCGCACACACACCCCCCCTACCTACTTTGGCCCTAGAGTTCATAAACCAGCCATATCGAATTACAACAGAGTTGTGCAGGAAGATAAGCAGTACTTCAAATCTTACTAATGTCATTGTGGCTCATAATCAGTTTATTCAGAAATGTTCCGTTACAATCCTAAAAACTCTCTTCCACATACGTAGTTTGACGTCTTCATCGGGACAGGCAGGTCTTCCCCGGCTCCCTAACCCTGGGGGTGGAGAACTCCTGCCAGGATGCGACAAGAGGTGACGTTTGCTTTAAACTTCCCCTTTGCAGGCATGGAGCTGGTTCCACCTGTCCTACTGTAAGAGCTAGTCTGCCCTACAGGACGAAGGATGGGCGTGCTCAATATATTACCCAGCCTGTCTTCTCCTAAGAGAACAATCTGTACAGGCTTCCCAAGGGGTTCCCTCAACTCCCAGGAAATCAAAGATTCAGCCCCAGCTGTGTCACTCCGTATTCCGTTCTTGATAATCTAGGTCCTCGATAAGCCCCAGCACGCAGTGATTTGGCAGAGGATGGAGTGGAGGACCTGAGAATACCGAAGATCCCCGGGGACTGGGGGTGCGATAGGGAGTAAGTACCGGAGAACCGAGCGAACTCTGAAGTTATCGCCTGCAAAATGCAGTTATTGTCAGGCGCTCCCACCTTGAAGGGGAAAGTACGGAATTCAGAACACGAAACTGCGAGATCGGGAGAAAGAGAGGACGGGTGGAGAAGTCGCCAGATATACGACAGGGACGGAAAGGACTGCGCTGAGGGGCCAACGAGCAGGCTGGCCCCAGGGACAGAGGTGCCCAGCGGAGAACCCGGGCGCTCGTCCGCCCGACGGGCTCCCCGATGAGATTTCAAACCGCCGCCCCCGGGAGGAGCTCTGCCGATTGGAAGTTCCACAACGACCGTCACTAGCGCAGGGCCGGAGCGGTAACTCCTCGGCGGAGCTCTCCGACCAGCCCTGCGCGTATCCCCAAGAGACCAGACCCCACCAACTCCACCTCCCACAGAGGTCCCCAACTCGAGTGGTGCCGCCGGCTCCACGCACGCTGAGGGCGCCCTCCAGGATGGGACCGACGCCCCCGACTGGGCTGCGCCGCGGGAGTTCGAGGGGCGCGACGGGGCCGCGCGGGCGGCGGGAAGGACAGACGTCCCTCAAAGTCCGCCTCGGGACGTGGCCCTGCGACTACCTCCGCCTCGCCCCTCCGGCATGGCCCGACTGGATTCCGACCCACCCATCCCGCCCGGTCGCGGGTAGAGCGAGGACCCGAGTGAGCCTACTCCCCCGCCCCTGCTCTTACCCATCTTTCCGCCTTGCCTTGTAGACGTGCCCGTAGGTGCCGCGTCCCACTTTGCACCCTTCGTACTCAAACAAATCCTCCACCCGCTCCCGCTCCGCCGCCAGCTTCGCCTTGAAATCATAATCCATTGTCTGCTTCCCCCATAGAGGCACCGGGACACGGGGGCCGCCGCCGCTCAGTCCCTCCTCCTCCTCCCCCCGCGACCGCCGCTCCACTTCTCCAACAGCCGCCTCTCGGGCGCGCGCGCGCGACG